TTAATAAAAGAATAAACGGATTTTTATAATCAAGATGGTTACGGTTCACAACACACAACGAATAGATAATTTAAACCGCGAAAAACGAACGACATTTTAAATTTAATCTTAATAAAAACGATGATAAATCTAAATAAAACAAATTTGAAATCGATAATTTTTTTGAAATTTGATTTAAAAACGAATCGTTTATGTTATAATAATTGTTAAGTAGAAAAAAAAATTTTTTAACCGTGTTATGAAAGGAACTCTAAATCCACTTTTGTTATGAAAGTTATTAATTACAATGTTGTGCAATATGGCTTCCTTGCCGTAAGACAAAAAATATTTTATATGTTTAATTAAACTGATAAAAACTATTTACGCGTGCGATGCATTGTGATAAATATTGGCTAATAGTATTATATTTTTTTAAATCACGAAAAATGAGGCATTAGTTTGATATTTTTCGTGGAGTGTATTTATCGGTTAGTTTAAGCGCCATCAAGGCCAAGCCTTCAAGCTAAAAGGACTCAACCATCTAATCGATTTCATCACTTATAACCATTGCTCTATAAATATATACAAAAACACACGAGTGTGATGGATTTCGCAAATTTTGATCCTGCCGAAGCTGTGCTATTGAAAAGTGTACAAATAACTCAAAGCACGGATGAAAGGCCTTTTGTTGATGAGAATCCTTGTTTATTATGCGGACATAAAGCATTTGCTAATTATATAGATTTAACATTAGTGACATCGTGTACTTCTCAAAGTTCTACTCCAGTCAGAAAAAAACTCAAAGATATATTAAAAAAAGTTTGGGTTCAAACGAAAGAAAATAATATATTGTGTTTAGCGTGTTATGATTTAGTTGACAGATACGATAGTTTAGAAGCTCAATTAAATAATATTAGGGAAAATATTGAAGAAAAATACCAAAAAACTTGTGCTAAAAAACATTTAAAATTAAAATCAACGAATTCGCCAAAGAAAAGGGGGAGACCCAAAACTAAATTAGATTCTAAAATTGGAAATAAAAAAAGGAGATCCATCAAAACAGAAGTTAGTTACTATTATTATTATTATTATTTATTTATTTATTTTATTTTATATTTGTATTATATTTTTTTAAATAAATATTTTTACGTCAAAAAAAAAAAAAAAAAACAAAAATTTAATTAATTTATTGATAAAATATTATTTATTTTGAAAAACTTGTATTTCATCAAGTTTTTCTACTTCATTAATATTACAACTACTTTCATTTAAATTCTTTAATTTATTAATAAAACAACTTGAATTAAAAACAATCATAGTTTAAAACATAACAATTTTCCTTCATAAGAAATTTTATTATGTTTTCATGTTTCAAACTTTAGTTTTCTAATCGTAGTAAAACTTGATTTATTTCGACAAAAATTGCAAATTTATTTTTTAAATGTAGTTAATTAATTACATTCTAGGTACATTCAGATGATGATAAATATTCGAATGAAGTAGATTTAGAAGACAAAGGAAATGATGATTCTGAATATTCAGGACCTGAAAATGAAGTTACAAATACTGAAAGAATTAATTCAGAACAGCACACGTTAGAAGGTCAACAAAATACGCAGCAGCAGCAGCAGCAGTCGCAACAACAACAAATAACGAAAGCTCCAGTACCTCCAGCCATTCCAGTAGAAGTTATAGAAGCAGTTCCAAATTTAAACGTCTACGATGAAAATCATCAAATGCTACAGAGAGGTCAAAAAATGAGGTTGGGAAAATTAATTAATGACAATGGGTTAGACATGTACAAATGTGGATATTGTCAACACACATGGGCAACAATAGCTCACCTTCACAATCATGTACATTCATATCACATGCCTGAAGTTGTCGATGTGGCCATTCCAGCCGAATTAGGTTTGGGCAATACAATGAATTGCGGTATAGAATTACAAAATGTGTCTGAGCCTCCAGAATGTCCTAAACCTTGGTCTTGCATATTTTGCGACGCTGCATTTCGCGCACGAACAAACATGTCTTCTCACTTTAAAGAAAAGCATACGCCGCATAAGCCATTTTTGTGCGTGGATTGCGGAGAAGCATTTAGAAAAGGAATCGATCTTAACAGGCACAAACTTTATTTCTGCCCAGAGAGAACCATCACATTCGCACCTAAAAGAAAATACAAAAAACGTGAGCCTAAAGATAAAAATTCGACGAAAAAAAAAGCGTCGAAAAATGAAAGCGGAGACAACAGTGAATAAATACATTAAACAATTCGAATAAAATTTTTCTAAAGCTAAAAAAAAAAAAAAACGGTATTTAATTATTTTTTTATAAAAAATAAATAAATAAATTTGCCCTCTCTATGACTGATGTAACAAAGTGATAAAATAAATATTAATTTATTTACTATCGATACAAAAAAAAAAATTATATATAAATATTATATGTTTGTACTTTTATTACTTTTAATATAAAAAAAAAAAAAAAAAATTTATAATTTATTTATTAGTATATTAAAATGTAAAAAAAAAAAATAAAGCATAAATTATATATATATATTTCCAAACTTTAAAAAAAAATTGTCCAAAAAAAAAAAAATATTGTATATATATGACTGGTCATATACAAAACAAAATATATATATATTTTTATTTAATTGAATTTAATCAATTTATTTTATTATTATTATTATTCTTAAATAAAAAAAAACTTTTCCCATATCAAATTAAAATAATTATTATTATCGAGATGATTTACAATTTTTTTGATCATCAAATCGAGATGATCATTATTAATTTTTTTGTTATAATTAATTAAATAAATCATTTCTCCAAATGTTGTTGTTATTTCTCGAATAATAATTGTTTATAATTCAATACAATTATTATTTTCATAAAAACAATTTAAAAATCAAGAAGTAAGTCAAATTAATAAAAAATAATAAATATTTATGATTTAATTTATTAAGATAATATTTACAAAATATATAATTACACAATAATTATAAATAATAATGATTGTATTACTAATAATAATAATAATAAAAATAATTACAATCATTTTATTATAATTTCAAAGGCCAATTAAAATTAATTGTAAATTAAAAATGTAAACTAAACTAAAACCGACTAACTTTTACATATTAATTAATAATAATTTTTGAGCTTTTTCTTTTTTTAAATAATCATTCGGACGAATTTATTATCAGTTAAATTGAACAAAACAAAAAAAAAAAACTTTCAATATTAAAATAGTTTTTATTTTATTTTAAAAAAAATAAAATTTATTAAAAAAAATAATTTTTTTTAAACATTACCCCCTTTATCAATACATCATTTTATTTTATTTTTCTTTTATTTTCATTGACTTCGTTTTCTTCTTCTTGAATATAAACAAGTTTTATAGAAAGAAAAATATCTAATTATACAAACTAATCATTTATATAATATTATTATTATTAAAGGAAGTTAAAAAAAAAAAAAAAAAGAAAAAAAATTTAGAGCACAACCTTCTTTAACAAAAAAAAAAACTTAAATAAATACATTTTGTATATTATCAATCGTGTTAAAATTTTCAACCAATCAAAATAATACTTTGTCATTACGTCATAGCCACAATCGACCAATCAAAAAATTACAATCTTACCCGGAAATTCATATCGTCAACGGATAAATTCCTTAGATATACATC